GCATCAGATCTAATTGGACCGAAAGTGCAAACGGTCACTTCATTGTTCGAGATTAAATAGCATAACGTACCGAAGAGGTGACATACATTATCCTTACCTAGCATTAGGGAGCTATTCTTTCTGAATAGACCAACGTTTCTTTGCTGACAAGGGAGTGTGTATGGCCATAATTTAACCATTGAAGCTCTGTTTTTGTGTGCTTTGTGCTAGATAATTGCCGTAAAGAAGCAGCAGGGCGGAGCTGTGTGTGTGTGTGTGTGTGTATGTGTGTGTGTGTGTGTGTGTGTGTGTGTGTGTGTGTGTGTGTGTGTGTGTGTGTGTGTGTGTGTGTGTGTGTGTGTGTGTGTGTGTGTGTGTGGTGCTTGGAGAAACAACTGCAGTAATCTTCCATGAGTGTGTGACCTCAGGCAAGGTCTCACTCAGCTGAGCTACAAACACTTCAGCACCTGAGTACAGAGCGTTATGTGTGTAGGGTCAGTAGGGGTGAAAACAACCACTAAATCTAATTAATTGTCAATATATCAGCTGATTACTGGTCATAGAAATTAAACAATGCCCAATGAGCTACAAGTTCCGACAACTAACTCGATACCCAAAGACACAACGTTATAAAATACCGAAAAGCAGCGTACATGAAGCCACATACAATCATAAATATTGTCCAGACCCACACAAGTGGATGCTTATAAGTACATGCAAATATATAGGGAAAGTCCAATTTAAACATAAGTGATTTCAAGTCTCTTTTAAAATCCAATAAAGCATCAGATTATAAGGGATTCACGTTCGTCAGTAACGGTGTTAATCTACTCTTCAAAAATCTTAAAATTGCATTGCTTGCCAGAGGAAGAGTGCAACACCCAAATATATCTAATTTACAATTATAAAACCGCAGGAAAAAAGGAAGATTTGAGACGCTGTTTACATGTTTGGTAAAGAAGTCCCCCTGAAACTGAAAAATGCTCCCTCTACCAATAAAATCTCACAACAAAGTAAACTGTGAACATCATGGATCTCTTCTCTAAGCATGCACTTCCAAGTTTCTGCAGAGCTCACATCATTCTGTAAATATGAGCTGTTGACTGGGGACGATTCCCAGTGTCATCATCTTGGCGTGGGAATAACTCTAGCAGGCTGCGATCTCTTTCTGCAGATTATATTACACAAACGGACAATATTACAGTCCAAGAAGAAAAATGTATACCTCCAATTTACTGAAACTTGATGTTCTAAAAAAGCTGTAACATCATAGTCGAGAACAGCCAGGTTAGGCCAATGACTCATCACTGTGTGCTTACTGTGTAAACCAGAGATGCGTCTATAATCAATCATTGCCTGTCATCTCCAACAAAGATTAGCAAGCTTACTGCAACATACTGTATCCAAAAACTAATTTTCAGAAAGCATGCCACTACTTCAAGGGAAGTACAAGCCCCCCAGACGACTGAAAACTCACTTTGGCAGCGAGCTAGAGAATCTTTCTGTCAACTCTCACATTAAAACTCTCCCATTTCATCAGCTTTAATACCAAAGGCTTGAATCATCAGCTTCCTGATGCCAATTACCTGGAAGCAGGCCTGGGTCAGGACCTGTCGTGACGCTTAATGAATTCCTGTACCTTTATTCAGAGCGAAACACTGAAGCGTATCATGGCATGATTGGACAGCGAAATTACATATTTATGCTCGTCTTCCTTGTTTAATATTTGAACTCTTCATTACTAATCTACTTTCCTTTGTCCAATGTCCTACTAACTTCTAATTAGTCCGCTACTCCTTTGTTTCCTTATCTATTCTCCTTGGTTTATTCTTTTATCTCCCCTTTGATTATTTTCTTTCCTTGTTTCGCCCTACTTTCCTCCTTTCATTACACCTTTCCTTGTTATTTTATTTCCTTTCTTTGGTCTTGTATTATTTCCTTGTTCGCTATCCTCATAAGTCCTTTCTCTTTTTATCTCTCCTCAATCTTCTTTGTCATTTCCTCTTATTTGTTTTCTTCTCCTCTTCCTATTTTTCTCCATCTTTCCTTGTTCCTTCTCCCTTTTCCTTGTTTCCTTTTTATTCTCTCTTTCCAGATTCCTCCTCATCTCCTGGTTTCTCCTTGCTTTTCCTCTCGTCTCCTCTCCTTATGTCGCCCCTTCTCCTTTTGTCCTCTCCTCAGTCCCTTGTTGGTTCTCTCTTCTTCTCATTCCCTTGTTACTCATCTCCTTTCCTCTTCGAACCACTTCTGCATTTAACTTTGTCTCTTCTCCCTTCATCCGTATAGCAAAAAACAGGAAATCAAGAGTGAAAGAAGAAGCTGTTTGGGTTGCATCCTTCCTCACAGCAGAACGGTAGAAGTACACAGCAGTTTTTGGATGTGTGTGGCAGAATGTGTTTATTCAAACAGATTTCCCCTGGATCCTTTTATTTATATCTTGTCCTGCCAAAAACATCAGCACATTTTTCTCCTAAATTCTTCACAGGCTGAGCTTATAAAATAACAAACCAACACAAACAGGAGTTTTAGATGAGCTTAACAAGCTCCCACAGTGTGCATCAAACACGACGCGAGTAAAGGCCTTCCAAAACCGACAAATCTTTATATTTTAAATATTTTTATGTTACATTTTAGACAAATTGTTCAGGCACGAGAGCTTTTGAGAGTGTGTCGTCCACAGGCTGAGACAAGCGACCTTCAGCCTCCATATGGGGTCCTGATCTGAGACAAACGGGCACCAGAGGAGTCAGCCCAGCACTGACCTCAGGACCCCTCAGTGCGGACATTTAAAGCAGCTCCTACACCAAGCACACATTTCTGTTAAACTCATACCTGTCGCACGACATATAAAAGCAGGTGTCTTATGCATTAAGTAGATGAATTACACTGCTATGTACAGACAGAAGAAGTTTGAGTTTTTCTGTAGGAGAACGGCAAAAAGGTAGAATTACTCATCTGTCAAATGTGGATCTGTCTACCATCACCAGGTAGTCAAAACAAGGTCTGATTTTACACAGGAGAGGACGCACTGTGACATTTGCCTTATAAAGGGATATCAGAATAATATGCTGGCTGATTGAAAAGTGGACAAGAGAATAAAGTGCGTGTCACCATCTGGAAAACAATCAAGTGAGTTTTCCCTTAACCATAAACAGTGATTTTCTCAGTCAGTATAAACAGAGAGTGTTTGGTTTACGGGATCCTGCTACATACATTTGAAACAACAGCACGAACAAGTCTGCCAAACATCGAAGGACTAAGACAGAGCTGTCTGTACTAAATTAGTCCTCCGACACTATCTAATTTTCCAGATGTATTTCTCTGTCCCCTCTGCAAAAAAATCTATTAGCAGAAGAGCGTTCATGTTCAAAGCCCCAACTGACTGGAATACTTTACCTGCTGCTATTAGATCTCTTGCATCATTGGGTATGTTTAAACATGTTATCGTCTCACTTTCAACTGCTCTGCACTTGTTATTGATGAAACTGATCTCTCTCTCTAATTGTAATGATTGTAATGATTGTATGTATTACTTGAATTGTACTTAACAGACTGTACGTGGTTTGTCTTGTTTGTCATGTTTTGCTTTTTGTGTATGTATGTCTGTAAGTTGTTGCTATTGTCGGGACCCCCTTGAAAACGAGATGGTGCACCTCAAGGGGTTTATCCCAATGAATAAAATGTCTATATAATCACTGATTAAGACGGTATGTTTGTTTATTTTGATGTATGCAAGTATGAAAGTTCTTCACGTCATAAGGCGACACACTGAAAAAGATGTGTAGCGTTTTAAATGTGATTCTTGACTGGCATTTTTTTTAAAGGTAGAAATGTACTTTTTGCATTATTTTGAATTTGACATTTTCAATTGTATTTATTTATGAATTATTAATGCAATGCCATACATTTGTGTTTCACCACAGCACAGGATGTTTTTATTTTTGCTTTAAAAAAAAAAAAAACCCACTAATCTACCAACATGCTCCCACTTCATGTTGTTTTCTTGCCTTGTGAGTGCCTTAATGAATCAGCTTGTGTGGAGGCGGTAATACACTTTTACAGTGTTCAAGACTTAAAACAGGATGTGTAATAAAATATCTCTAATTATAATGCTCTCATTTTCTCTTAAACACCCAACAGAAACAGTGAAAATGTGGATGTCAGGTGTGCTGCAGCCCTCACTGCCTCAGGCCTCTGAACTCACATCAGCTCCTAGCGGCTGGAGCTGGAACTGCAGGTGGAGGATAATACTGAAGCCACTGTTCAGAGCTAATATGTGAGCTATTTGACTATAAAACAACGATTTTTAAACAAGCTTAAAAAGAGAGAGATTCTGTAGTATATTAAGGAATATATAGGTATTACAAAATTGTAAACTTTGCATCATCATGGGACACGGGAAAATAATATAATAATGTTTCTACTGACATAAATAGTGACATATTGACACCTTGGAGAATAACCCAGGAGTGATGTTGCATGTATTTTTGTTAGGTTTTTTTCCCATTTCACATAGCATGGAGACATGTGTAGAATATAAAAGGAATATAACAGCAGTTTTTAGTGTGCTTATCTTATGGGAATGTGTGAGATGGAAATACTTCTGAAGGGTGATGGATGGACGCTGTGAGAGGAAACACTGGTCCATTAAAGTCTGAGTGCAACACACTGAAGTCGGCCCCTCATCCAAAGCGGTCTCTAGGAGAGAGAGAAGGACGAGAAGAGAGAGTTCTCCTCTCCTGCTCAAGGCTAGTCTCATCATCTCCTCGAATCAAAGAAAGAAAAAATCTCTCTTCCTCTCTACTCTCAGACTCTCTTCTCTTCTCTTCTCTCTCTCTCTCTCTCTCTCTCTCTTCTCTCTCTCTCTCCTCTCTCTTTCTCTCTCTCCTCTCTCTCTCTCTCTCTCTCTCTCTCTCTCTCTCTCTCTCTCTCTCTGCTACTCTTTTCTCTCTCTCTCTCTCTCTCTCTCTCTCTCTCTCTCTGAGTTAAGAGGTTTAAGATCGTCCCTTTTTCTCAGCTCACCGTGATTGGACGACGCCACTTCTTAGGAATGGCATCAAACTATTTAAATAGCACTTTGTCCCCCCTCGGCTTAAAAGGGAGATTTTTAGCGGCCGATACCAGAAAGGACAAGTTTTCAATCAAGACACAAGAAGACTTTTTTCACGGTGGAACTTTGTAATTTGAAATAATTCTCCATTAATTCACTCTTGAGGATTATTGCTGGATTTCTAAATATTTTTGCGGGATTGTATTACTTTTGCTCTGCTGTTTTCGTTAATCAGGTGAGTTGGGAATATTCTAAGGAATGCATATTTCTGCAGCTGCAGAACGTTTTGATTTGTGACCGACTTTAATAACTTCTTCATGTTTTCAACCTGCACACTGACTTTGTCGGCATTGGTTTGTATGTAATAAATGGTTAGATGTTGGGGTGTTTTGTCGTTGTTTGTCACAGGCAGCAGGTTGGTGCTTCATTCACCATGAAGTTGACAGGGATATTTTTGCTTCTGATGTGTTGGAGCTGCGAGGGCGCGCGAGTTGCAGGTGAGTTTCTCCTCAGAATATTCCTCACAGATAGGAAACTGTTTATTATGATGGGAGTCTGGAGAGTTTTTAAAGCAGTTTGCAGTGTATTGAAAGTGAAAACAACAGGATGTCTGGTGCACTGCCAGACAAAGGCTGACTGCTTCTTATTATTCCCTGCAGAGAGCCGAGACGACAATAGCGTGTATGACTTGTTTGAGCTGGTCAAAGTCCCGAAGAAGAACCACGGGGTGACCCTGGTGAAAGGAGACGACCCGTACAGCCCCGCTTACAAGATCCTCAACCCGGACCTGATCCCCCCGGTCCCCGAGAGCGCCTTTAGGGACCTGATCGACTCCATCCACGCCGAGAGGGGGTTCCTCCTCCTGCTCAACTTCAAGCAGTTCAAGCGGACCAGGGGCTCCCTCCTGACCGTGGAGAAGAAGGACGGTTCCGGACCCGTGTTCGAGATCGTCTCCAATGGAAAGGCGAACACCCTCGACATAGTTTTCTCCACCGAGAACAAGCAGCAGGTGGTTTCCATTGAAGATGCGGACCTGGCTACGGGGCAGTGGAAGAATATCACGCTGTTCGTGCAGGAGGACCGCGCGCAGCTGTACGCCGGATGCGAGGAGGTGAACACCGCGGAGCTGGACGCGCCCATCCAGAGCATCCTCACCCTGGAGACCCCGGTCAGCTCCCAGCTCCGGATCGGCAAGGGAGCCGTGAAGGACAGGTTCATGGTGAGAACACCCGTCATTATAAACAGAGGAAATTCAGTCACGTCTTTAGAGTCGTGAGTGGATAGTTTTGTTTAAAACAGAGGTGGTGAAGTACTCAGATCTTGTACTTAATTAGAAGAACCACAGTGTTACAAGTAAAAATCCTGCATTCAAAATGTTACTCAAGTAAAAGTGCAAAAGCATTAGCATCAAACTATACATAAAGTATACTCATTATGCAGATTGGCACTTTTTAGAATAGTATATGTTTTTATTGTAATAATGTATTAATTGAAGTGTTATCAAAGCTGGTAAAGGTGCAGCTTTTTGTGACTTGCAAGGTAGCAAGGTAAGGTAGCTTGTGAATTTACTCCAGGTGTAACTAAAGTCTGATTTAAGTGTTTATTATATTTCACATCATTAATCCAAATCTGCAAAGTAACTAAAGGCAGCTAAAGGTAAATAAGTCTAGTAGAGTAAAAGTACACCAGTTACCCCTGAATTGAAGTGGTGTATGTGTTTTACTGTATTTATTCTTAAATGTATTTTATTTTGTAAAGCACTTACTGTCGCGTACTGAAAGGATATATATATATATAAATAAACTTGCCTTGCCTAGAAGTACGAAGCAAAACATTCAAATACTAAAGTAGAAATCCCTCAAAATTGTACTTAAGTACAGTACTTAGAGTACATCTTTAAACCAAACACTTTAGTTACTTGACACCACTTCTTATGTGCTTTTACATTCAGCAATGAAACATTAGCTGATTTTCAGGATCATAGTTTAAAGTGAACATCCATACTTGCAGGGGGTCCTACAAAACGTCCGGTTTGTGTTTGGAGCGTCACTGGAAGCGATCCTGCGCAACAAAGGATGCCAAAGCTGTAAGTACTCACAAATCTTGTCTGTTTACTCACCACTCATGTGCTTCATGTTCTGCCAAGTACTAAGTCCTTATCAAAGAAATGTGTACACTTTAATTGCTTGATGATTTCTACATAAAGCCTCACAGTTTACAACTTGTCACACAGGAATGCCACTATACACATTTCTCAGGGTGCTGTGGTCGCTGGGCTGCAGCATTAACATATTACTTGTCTTAATGAGTAATTGTGGGAGGTGTAACATTTGAGAATAGTAATCCCTCTCATTAATAAGACAAGATGAGTGTGCAAATATGTAGTTTGATGTATGGTACTGTTCTTATTTCAGCTATAAGGACTGACTCCCTGGTCCTGGAGAACCTCAATGGATCCTCAGCAATCAGAACAGAGTACACCGGACACAAGACTAAAGGTAAACACCGCTTACATCACCCTCCTTTTCTCATGGCTGTTCATTTCGACTGATCACACTTTTTCTTATACCTTCACTGCCAAATCATGACTTTCCTCCCTGTATTTTTTATAAGACCTGCAGATGGTCTGTGGCTTCTCCTGTGAGGATCTGATCGGCATGTTTAAGGAGCTGAAGGGCCTCGGTGTGGTGGTGAAGGAGCTGTCCAATGAGCTCCGCCAGCTGGTAAGGAGGAGGAAACCTGCCAGACCGTCTGGTGGCAGAGAGCAGGAGACAGTCTGCCTGCCTGTGTGTGTGTGTGTGTGTGTGTGTGTGTGTGTGTGTGTGTGTGTGTGTGTGTGTGTGTGTGTGTGTGTGTGTGTGTGTGTGTGTGTGTGTGTGTGTGTGTGTGTGTGTGTGTGTGTGTGTGTGTGTGTGTGTGTGTGTGTGTGTGTGTGTGTGTGTGTGTGTCTAGTCTCTATGTTACCGTCACCACCTGTGTGCACCACAGCTGTCAAAATAGCATTAGACATTAGGTATCTCCAAGGTATTGCAGTTTTCAAAGTAAAAGCTTATTTTCTGTTAATCAAATGAAGTTAACAATACTTTGAGTGCTCTGAAAACAATGGAGCCTAGAGGATTTATGCATTTTAAAGTGAATAGTGCTAAACTTAAATACTGAAATCTAAAATATCCACTAGCCAGAACTATCTTATTCACACAAGACAAAAGTTAAACAGCTTTATGGCATCAGTTCAAAGGTTTCCCAACCCATATAAAGTTCTACAAAAAACACATGTTCTCTCTAGATAGTATAATGTCAAACTTGTATGGATTAGTAGTAAGTAGTTGTGCATATTCACATCTTTTTTTATAAGCAATCAACAAATACTCGTTACTTTCTTTCATATCTTTAGTACATTTTAATGAGAAAGGTAGAAGCTTATTGGCATCTAATTAAAATCTGTGTTTTGTCTTCTCCCTCCCAGACGGATGAGAACAAGCTGATTAAGAACCGGATTGGCATTCACAGCGGAGTCTGCATCCACAACGGCATCGTGCACAAGAACAGAGACGAGTGGACCGTGGATGACTGCACCGAGTGCACTTGTCAGGTGAGATCTCCAGAGTGTGTATTGTCTCTTCCTAAGTACTTAAATACACATGTGAGGGGATGCACTCTGTACTCCAACTTGTTTATACATGCACACACACTCGAATGGAAAGACCACTCGCGCACACCTACACACTTGACACCACTCAACTGATCTGGTCAGTAATTAGTGGTGTGAAGGCCTGGCAGAAGCTCAACGGCAGCCTTTACTGCTGTAATGAGAGGTCCGCTGACAGAAGTTCAACTTGAGTGTGGCCTAGACAGACTTGACCAGACTTTAAGTGATGCATTGTAATTAAGAACAAGACCTTGGCACTGACTGAATGAAGTGGAAATAAAGGATGGGTTGAGCGCCCTGCATTTCACCATTACATTCCTGATGTTCTCTTCTACTGATACACACTTTTTTCACTTTTCTTCCCTGATCAGATCCAGGAGGGAGAACATAATCATGCATAGTTAGCCAGTTGAGATCCCTGAGTCATTCACACTGTACCCACACAGGTTGTTCTGACAATCTGGCTTCACTTGTTTGGGGCTCAGCGCCCAGTTTCGGCTCTACAGTCAAATCCACTTCCATTATTGGGACTTTTGGACTCATTCCCACCCTCTCCTGACCCAGTGGGCAGGTGGTGGTCTGCAGGGGTCTCTGCTCCCAGCCAGAATCCTGCTTTTTTGTTTGTCAGGCATGGTGAATCTGTGCAAACTCAGATGTTGGAGCAGAGTGTTTAATGAGTTGGTTGCACGGACATGGACAAAAACTTGGATTTAAAGAAATTACTCTGTAACACGCACTCCTTTTAAAAAAGGTTCACAGAACATTCAACTCCACAATAGTGACACTGCTCTGGATTGTTTCAACCCATTTAACAATGTGAGATTCAACCCAACATCTGGACTTAATTTAGTAGAAAACTGCAGCAACGCTTGATAGATATTCATATATTTGAGCATGTGTTTAACACTTCATTTGATCTCTTTGCTCCTGCAGAACTCTGCTACCGTGTGCCGCAAGATCTCTTGCCCCCTGCTCTCCTGTGCTAATGCTACTATTGCTGATGGAGAGTGCTGCCCTCGCTGTGGAACACGTAAGTATTTCTTATTGTTAGAATCTGCATAGCTAAAGGAAAGCACACTTTAATTGCATTTACGTAAACGTGCACTGTAAGCTACTGTACAAACGGCCCGTGTGAGCTAGAATGTATACAGTATGTTTAAACTAACACACAGGGCATTCAAACACTGCCTCATTCACGGAAAGAGCAATTTCTATGTTATTTGCCATGTACAACAAAAAGCCACAAATATTTCCCTGGCAAATGTCTCTATTCAAGAGAAAACATGTTAACTTTAGAGATGATTTAACTGCAATAACATCCGAGTAAATGAAAGGGTGCTTATGTGTTTGGAACATTGGTTCTTTGTGCTCAAAAACATCTTTGAAACGGCTGTAATTTGCCAAAATTGGTTAAAGCGGTATGGAAAATTGGTCGGCTGTTTAGTGAAGCCATCTTCTACTTAAGAAGAAGTGACATGCTCCTCATACCAATGCAGGGATGGCTGCAATGCCTCCCTACAACCTAAATAAACAGGGGAAGCACCATTCATCCAGACCTCAGCCACTTGTCGAAGTCATTACACACCCAGGGCCGTGTTTGCAAAATCTGTTTCCTCTCTAAGAAAACATAAGCCGATGGGGCATCCCTATGTACCCCGAGGACAGTGGCCCTTACTGTTTCTCTCAGCGAGTTATTCTCTGCCCTCCCTCTCAACAGACGACCTTCTATCTGTCCAACTCCCAGCTAAATCCACACTATTAGCCCTCTGCTTTAAGAGCTTTCCCTCCTCATTTAGGCTTGGGGGTGTTTGTGAGGGGTGCTGCCTCGCAGGAATAGCCCTTTTATTGTCTGCCTCTTCCCCTCTCTCTCATACTCTCTCCCTCTCCCTCCTTCTCAGCGAGCGACTATGCAGAAGACGGCTGGTCGCCGTGGTCTGAATGGACCCATTGTTCCGTGTCATGTGGGCGGGGTATCCAGCAGCGTGGGCGCTCTTGCGACCGTATCAATAGCAACTGCGAGGGCACCTCTGTGCAGACCCGCGACTGCTACCTCCAGGAGTGTGACAAGCGATGTAAGTTAACACAACACACTCTCACCCAGCCAAACAAAACCAAATAAGCAGCAGGCCTAACCCTATCTATCTGAGAGATACTTGGCTCATCATCACTGGGCCATAATATATGATTGAGCCACAAAGGAGCAGCAATTGGCTTCCTGATAACTGACCTTTCTCTGTGTCCTTTAGTCAAGCAGGACGGCAATTGGAGCCATTGGTCACCCTGGTCCTCCTGCTCCGTCACCTGTGGTGCTGGTGTAATCACCCGTATCCGCCTTTGCAACTCCCCCACCCCTCAGCTTGGAGGCAAGAACTGTGAGGGAGAAGGACGGCAAACTGAGAAGTGTCAGAAATCTCCGTGCCCAAGTAAGTCCCAACATCTGATATTCCTGCCTGCATTTATATGTCTTTAAAACACAGCACAAATAGAAATAAATAATTATTTCTTCTCGTCTCCCTTAGTCAATGGTAACTGGGGACCCTGGGCTCCATGGGACACCTGCACTCTCACCTGTGGAGGCGGTGTCCAGAATCGAAAACGCCTGTGCAATAACCCTGAATCCAAATACGGTGGCAAAGAGTGTATCGGTAATCCCAAAGACACCCAGATGTGCAACAAGAAAGCCTGTCCAGTTGGTGAGACATTTACATCACTTACAGAGCTCCTACAATTAAATTCCATGTAGCCCATCTGTATTATTTGAAACAGATTGTCTTACAATGTTTAATTTACTTTATCACTATTTTTGGCATTTTGTTATGTTGTTTGTTTAAATCAATTAGGTATGTCATATCCTGATCATTTCCTTCACAAATAGCTCATTAGTGAAAAGGGATACCTTTGATGTTGCAGATGATGTTTGGATAATAATCCAACATTGTGGTTTTCAGATGGGTGCCTGTCCAACCCCTGCTTTGCTGGAGCCAAGTGCACCAGTTTACCTGATGGGTCCTGGAAGTGCGGAAAGTGCCCAGCTGGCTACGCTGGCAATGGTATCAAGTGCAAAGATGTTGATGAGGTAAACTATTAGATCATCTATTATTATTTTGTCAGGTATAAAACATGGCTAATGTATGTTGCAAGTCCCCAGCTTAATGGGCTCAATGTTTTTATCTTACTTTTAACAGTGCAAGGAGGTCCCAGACGCTTGCTTTGAGTTTAATGGCGTGCACCGCTGTGAGAACACTGAGCCTGGCTACAACTGTCTGCCATGTCCTTCTCGCTACTCAGGACCCCAACCGTTTGGCAAAGGTGTGGAGCAGGCCGCTGCCAAGAAACAGGTAAGTGCAGATACAAATGAAAAATACTGACAACAGGAATAACTGGTACAGATACAAATGCATCTCCAGGACAGGAATATACTCGAATGTCCAACTTTTCCAGAAACAGAATTTCGACTATGCACAGTGTGTTCATCTATGTATTCCTTATTCACCCTCCAGGTGTGCACAGCCCTTAATCCCTGCCTCGATGGAAGCCATGACTGCAACAAAAACGCCCGTTGTAACTACCTTGGACACTTTGCCGATCCCATGTTCCGCTGTGAGTGCAAGCCCGGCTATGCTGGCAACGGCCATATCTGCGGAGAGGACACAGATCTGGATGGATGGCCCAACTCTGACCTGGTGTGTGTGGAGAACGCCACCTACCACTGCAAGAAGGTACATAATGACGAAGCAGCTAGGCTCTACTATGTCTTGTGAAGCAAAGTTCGTTTTTCTTCGTCTTTCAGAAATTAAGTTCATTTTTTGTTGTCTGTTATTCAGGACAACTGTCCAAACCTCCCTAACTCTGGGCAAGAAGATCACGATAAGGATGGCATGGGAGATGCCTGTGACACCGATGATGACAATGATGGCATTCCTGACGATAGGGTAAGTACAATTATCTAGTGATCATAGTCTTGGAAAATGGAGTGTGTGTGTGTGTGTGTGTTCTTAGATGTTTGCATTCATCATTCATGCCATCTAATAAGAAGGCAGGTGGAGAGGATGAAGGGGAGGGGAGGCTCAGCAGGAAAGCAAATGTTTCTCCCCTGCCTGAGCCAGAACCTCAAATTCCAACACTGAGGTACAGCTCTGAAGGGGCTGCACTGTGGGTTTGCTAATCCCAACATTAGATTTGGGACAGGGCATAAAATAAAGTACCTTTTCATCCTGCATTGCTCCCTCCCTCTAAATAGATCCAACCAGCCTCGGATGGCAAGGGACAAGCAACTGAACACTTACACTCTACTCTTCTCTTCCCATTTTGCTGCCTCTTTATCAAACAGGACAACTGCCCATTCGTTTACAACCCCAGGCAGTATGACTATGACCGCGATGATGTTGGTGACCGCTGCGACAACTGCCCTTACAATAGTAACCCAGACCAAACGGACACAGACAACAATGGAGAGGGAGACGCCTGTGCTGTGGACATTGATGGAGATGGTAAGGACTGAAAATGAACCAATCCTCTGCAGATAAACAGTGAGATTATGCCTATAGTGTACTTACTTTTGAATGTTCCCATTAATTCCTTAGGCATAATAAATGAGAAAGACAACTGCCCCCATGTGTACAATGTCGACCAGAAGGACACAGATCTGGACGGCGTGGGAGACATGTGTGATAACTGCCCTCTGGAACATAATCCAGATCAGGTGTGTGGACACACCACCCTTCCCCATTTTCTTCCACCTCACCCACCAACAATAATCCACATTCATCTCCCTGCTTTTCTCTATAGCTCAGCATATATCTGTCTTTCATTTGAGACGGAGCGTCAGTGATTAGCCCTGTGTAGCTGTCTCAGCTTAATCACGCCATGTAAAGGTGGAGAAAATCCTGTATGCAGCAGAAGGGCACATCAGTTCAATAAGGCGTGGTGGGGGGCTAGAGGTCTTTTCAATGGCCCATTGACGTTAGCTGGCTAATGTGAGGGAAGAGGCCCTAGGCTGGATATTACTGAGGAATGGGCTGGCCCTGGGCTGTGTTAGTGCCCTGTCTGCACACCACGGGCCTGCTCAGTCCACCTGTGCTATGCTACAGTGAGAAATAGGAATGTGTTGAACAACGAGACTCAGGAAAATGACGGGGGAAGGAGGGGTGAGCCTAAATCTACACGAATGTGGTCTTTAAAGAGTGAATTGACAGAGAAAGTGAATGAAGACTGAATTGCACAGTGCAATTAAAGGCCAAAAAAGACAAGTCTAGACATGAACACAGCAATGTCTTTCAAAAGATAACAAAAATACCTCTTCTCACCCTTCAACTTCTTTCATTCATCCCCTTATTATTTCCTACTGCTAAAGGGTATGTCTAGTTCTGCCAGATAGGGAGAAAGTGACTTCGCCCTTTACTACAGATGCCGGAGGTGCTCAACAAGCAAATTGGAGTAGGTGGAGCAACAGAGTCTTGTGAAGTGATGTTAGATTTTCCCTCGCTAAAACCTGCTGACAGATCTAGGACAAATTGAGCTTGGCAGCTTTACAGAGGCAACATTAGACTGGAAAGTCTGTAATGAAAGCATGAGAGGAGAGACGACTAAATAATGGTAGCAGGAAACACTGCAGGGAAAACAAAAAAAAGATTCGATGGAATGTAATCACCTGCCTACTGTATGTCAAAGAGCTACATCATTGTCCCCTGAAGCCATTTATTAAGTCAGAACACTGACGTCAAATCATTTTACCATTTCAGGTGGATTCAGATGATGACCGAGTGGGAGACAAGTGTGACAGCAACCAGGACATCGATGAGGACGGACACCAGAACAACCTGGACAACTGCCCGTATATCCCCAACGCCAACCAGGCTGACCATGACAAAGATGGCAAGGGAGACGCCTGTGATTATGATGACGATAACGATGGTGTCCCTGATGACAAGGACAACTGCAGACTGGCCTTCAACCCTGACCAACTGGACTCTGACGGTGAGTTAATAGGCCATTTTTAAAACGTGAAGGACACAGTCGCTATAAGTTGAAACAAAGCATTTGGATATAACTTCGAAACACCTTAGGTACTATTATTAATGAGTATGTAATGTATGTTTTTCAGGTAATGGTCGTGGAGATGCTTGCAAAGACGACTTTGACCAAGACAACGTGCCTGACATCTACGACGTGTGCCCAGAAAACTTTGACATTAGTGAGACAGACTTCCGCAAGTTCCAGATGGTTCCTCTTGACCCCAAAGGCACTTCCCAGATTGATCCTAACTGGGTCGTCCGCCATCAAGGCAAAGAGCTGGTTCAGACTGTCAACTGCGACCCCGGAATCGCTGTCGGTAAGTAAATAGAATAGGTTGCAAATGTCTAAAACAAATATTTGACCACATCAAGTGATTATTCAATTGAAATTCTGGTCATTAACGTGAATTTGTCCTTCAGGTTATCACGAGTTTAATTCAGTGGACTTCAGCGGGACTTTCTTCATCAACACTGAGAGGGATGATGATTACGCCGGCTTTGTGTTTGGATACCAGTCCAGTTCAAGGTTCTACGTGGTGATGTGGAAGCAGATTACACAGACATATTGGTCGAATAAACCCACCAAGGCCCAGGGCTACTCTGGCTTGTCCATTAAAATTGTTAACTCCACCACTGGTCCAGGAGAGCACCTCAGGAACGCCCTCTGGCACACAGGAAATACACCAGGACAGGTAAGATATTTGGTAGGCTTTTGGGGGTTACTCCCCAAATGCTGTTTTAAATATAGGGAAGTGTAAAAATATAAACCAATGGCTGTTTATTTTCCCTTGCCTTAGGTCCGCACTCTCTGGCATGACCCCAAGAGCGTTGGATGGAAAGACTTCACCGCCTACAGATGGCATCTGATCCACAGGCCGAGAACAGGACTTATAAGGTGGGTAGAAGATAGTAATGTACTCTCTACATGGGTGTGATGTTTAAATCCCAAATTTTAGTCCTCATTTGCTTAACTTTTTATTTTATTCAAACAGAGTTGTGATGTACGAGGGCAAGAAGATCATGGCAGATTCTGGTAACATCTATGACAAGACATATGCTGGCGGCAGGCTAGGTCTTTTTGTCTTCTCACAAGAGATGGTATACTTCTCAGACCTCAAGTATGAATGCAGAGGTAAGAACTTACGTCTCATCAACTTCCCATAAAGCATGTGATGTTCTGCTTTTAAAATCAAGACCATATCCAACTCTTTTGTCTTCTTCTTTCAACAGATACCTAAATGCACTGCCCAGAAAGCTCTGAGGAATGCACCTTTTTTGTATAAAGTATGAACTTATGTATTCTGATGCAAAGTCCAGGGACCGATTTATCCCCGCAACTCTTTCTTCTGCGGCACGCACACTCTGACGACGCGAAGGGCATGTGGTCAGCCTCAGGGTAACTTGAAGCTGGTTTGGGCGAAGCACCGACCGGTTGACTGCCAGTTGAGGATCAGAGAGCTCCGTCTCCTCCACCCTTAGCATCCATGAGGGCAGGGAGAGCTGGGGGGGAAAAGCAAGCCCTCGAGCTTCGCCAGTAGGACACAAACACCTTTCTATCCCAGCTCTGCCTGCTTTTTGCTCTCTGAAAGACCTCATTCATCTCTGTGCGGCAGCGGCTCCACATAGACAACTATGCACTTCCAAACCTTTACATCTCTCTCTCTCTCTCTCTTTCTGTCTCACCACTTCAGCCTGTGTGCCTTTCTACCTTCTGGATGGACATCCCAAAGAAAAAATAAACTGATGAAATATTTCTTTACCAGATCTGCCAGGATGTAGATACTGAATGATATAACATTTGAGGACTCAGAGGATGAAGACAGCAATACAATTTGTTTAGGGTCATGATTGTTAAGGACTTAAGAACTGTTGGGAGTTGAGCGAGTTTGAAATAAGGGGAACATGATGATTGTGGTTATGCATGTACTGTAAGTGGAAGACTGGAAAAAGAAAGTGTGTTTACCCATCTACTAATATCTGTAGAGAAGAGAATTACAAAGTTACATTTAGGATAGCTATCTTTGAACTCACAAGTATCATGGGCTTTGTTGATGCTGTCTGGTTGACTAAACAAATCTCAGGGTGGGATGGAAGTAAGATCTTCCTATATCAAACCAGCAAGAACAAATATGAGGATTATTTCACAGCCAGTGCTCCCTCCAAAATACTCCCCTTCTGACATCAAAACATTGGTCATTAAGATTTATCAGCCTCTGAGGATTTCAATTTTATAAGTATGTAAATACATGTAATTTATTGACGTTTGCCTACAATGTAGGCAGCAAAGGAAATTTGAATGCTTTGAAAAAGTAAAAGAAGTCCATCCAATATTACAGTGAAAACTGATCCAAAATTGGGTACGGCCAGGTATCGATGTCTCTCATCTCCCGCTGTACAAAGCCAACTAGATATGCTTCAGATAGGGCTATCTAGCATGAAGTGTATGTGACTCGTGTGCCTTTTCTTAAGAGAGAGATGAAAAACAAAGGAAATCTTTGTTGTACAAATATTACCTCATTGCTGTTGTATAATTTGATTAAACAAAAACAAAACCTATAGAAACTTTTTTTTATATTCCTTTGAAATGATGGACATCTTGGTGCCACTGTAGCATGAGCTGTAAATAGTATGTCATTTCATATCTAAAACAAATACAAGCTCCCAATCCCGTGATCTACAACAGAGAAAATAACAGTACAATGGGAGATTTCCTTTTATAAATAATTTTGCTCCATCATGTTTGTCCAATGCTGTTTTTAGCAGATAAATTATTGTTTTGTCTTAGCTGTTTGCAAGAGGTTGATTTGTATGTGCGTGTGTGTAGATAAATGCTATTTAAATAATTTATCAGGATTTGTCGCCTTACCAAAGGCCACACGTCCATCTGTATAAACGGTTTGCACACTGACGTGAGGATGTTCTGTTCTTTATCGTTTTTACCTTTCTTTGTTATTGTGTATCAATGTTACCATTATTTTTGTACAATTAGTTTGGCTTGTCTGTAAACATTTTCTTAGTTGTACAAAGCGAAAATGCTGTTTTTATTCATAGCCATTATTTTGTTACATACTTCAAGACAATAAATAGTTGTTAAAATTCTCAAGCATGTCTGTACTTTTGTGTTTCACATTGGAGCAACTTGACAATGAAGTCTACCTTAGGCAAAACACTTTGACATACTCAAAGCCAAGAATGAATCTCAGTCCCCCCAAACAGAGTTGTACTTTCAGACCTTCCTCCTGCAGTCATACATATGGTCTCTCTGTGATGAAGGCCACATGAGGAATGTGACAGACGTCTGCTCCTCAGCTTGATCTGCCTGACCTCTGTGTGATCTGCGCTGACCTCTGCAGAAGCTCAAACAACACAGAGAGCAAATATTAGGCCAACACAAACCTTGACATTGGGAGAGTGGCTTTGGGACGCAAGCTAAAAAATATCCACTGGGGGACAAAAAAGCAGGAACACAACACAGCAAGTGCACAAACTGTGACCTCATAAATCACTTGATGGTATTAACAGCAATACCGTTAGGGTGTTTCTGTTTTTTGTATTTCCTTTTTGCCTATAACTGTCTCCTTATCAAGACTCTTTGAAGTTGTTATAGTGGTCACTGTTCTGATGATTCGGCACCAGATGTGCACTGGTAGTACATATGCCCAAAAATTCTCCGAACCAGACCTCGGGAAAACCTACATTTACTAAAAAACAAAGAGGCGTGGCCTCAAAAGGGACAAATGTCCATAAGACTTGATCCAAACGTACTCAAGGACCGGATCAAAAACAAATCTTATGAGTTTTCACTTCATAGTTCACCCTTTCTGTTTCACATGCATCCTGAAATGATCTTAATAGAGGTTATTAGGTATTAGGCATATTGTCACACAAAATCGCATTGATACCCAGAACTATATCTAACACAAAGTTAAGTTAATGCAAGTGAGAACAAGCAGGTTTTTTACCATCCAGGGCTGGGTCTTGGCTACTACTTGTACGAAATGAATGAAAATGAAACGGCTCAATAGTGTGTCCTTCACACTTGACTTCCTGTTGATGTTTGAGTTTCTGTGATTTTCATTGTTTGTTTAGCATCTCCGCTCCTGACAAAAAAAGAAAGAAAGAAGAGAAACAAGACAGGGTTTTTAGAAATAAAAGTGAACTAATAATGACTCAGTGTTATTATGTAGCAATCGAGTGGAGTGAAGCAAATAGAGATTTATGGCCTATATTATTGGCCTTTTTTAGTCCAGGAAGTCAGTAATAAACTTGCTCTTATTAATCATGTCAGCCCAGCTTGAGATATTATGGATTATTATAAAGTGGCCAAGCTGTAGGCAAGACATCGTAACACCAGCTGCAGTTCTCACACGTCTCTGCCAGCTGTCTACAAACACACACATGTTTACTCTCAGACCCTCTTTAGGCTGCATGTCAGTGCACCACTGTAAAGAACACAGATGATTCAACAAGAAAATTGTATTGTTTCAGCTCTAAATTGAGGATGCTGTTTCAAGGATATAAGATATTTTGCACACACTGATGTATTCTGTTATGCCTAACTTTATCCTCTTCAGCATTGCTGAGAGACACCTTGATAATGAACATTGGACATGGGAACCATAGTGCGTATTGTTGCCCACTCTTTTCCCAGCAACACCTTCAAACTGGCAGCCATCCAGTCGCAAGTCACGACCATGATTACTCGCCACACACACTCCTCGAATAATGACAGACCAAAGCTAAAAAATACCCACTCAATTACCTCAGGCACCTTTAATGTGTCTGCAAAAAGCACCTTTTGCAGTAAAAGCATATATACGTTAGCCTTGAAGTGAAGTGACTAATGCAAAGTGCTGTTGAATGGAACAAAGGCCGTCCACCCTGGAGTTACGGCAGCTTTATTTAGCTCCTGTAATCCACCCGGGGAAGTGGAGAGACTGCGCTCCGTTTGCAGTACCCACCGCCACAATTGGCCTCAAACCTCAAACGCTACATTTAATCCGGCCTCCCTCCTCTTCTGGTCTGTCATTCAAGACCTTTGTGCTTCATGCTGCTGGGTATTGAGGTGTTGAAGTGTTATGTTGAGCTGGAGGACCCCCCACTAAATGTAGCCACAATGTACGTCTGTAAGTAAAGGAGCTAAAAGGACCCCACCTGTACATACATTAGTGAGTCTCAAATAAGAATGGAATAACATTTTCTCGAACAATAAAGACTTGGTGAAAATAAGTCTGGCCTGTGGTTTAGTCAGTGCATTTTCTTTCCATTATATTGGGTGGGCGTGTAGAGTGGGATCGGAACGAAACCTCAACGACACCTGCATTTTACGATTTCTAAAAAAAGAAAAGAAAACGCACACAGCTGAAGGCATCAGACTTGTAAAAGCCATCACTTTAATCACGAGAGCTGTTATGCAACATCTTGAGTCATCTGTGTTTTCTGGTTCTACACACGCTTGGCTTTGACTATACTCTTTAGATCTCTGCAAATTGTAGGCTGTAAAAGGCTGGCACATTCAAATACAGTGGGAGATGGTTTCTCCATTAAGTACAACATGTCACTGCAAGGGAGAAGTCCTACAACTACACTAACTTTTATCCATGTATTTTTTCTTTTAATGTTTATTTTATTATCTTTTCTTTTTAATGACTGATTTTAAATACCATTTTCTTAATGTCTTTCATTTTTTGTAAAGCACTTTGAATTGCCTTGTGTTGAAAGGTGCTATATAAATAAACTTGCCTTGCCTTACATTGTGATTTGTGCAGCTAGGTACCTCCTGGATCTGTAACAACAACTATTTATTGACAATGTTATTAATTCAGGATTCATTCATTCACGTTAAGTGTCAAACAGATAGGTATTGTTGTTATTCAGGGGTCGGTATATTGGCACATTATGGGACCGTTGGTTCAACAAATAAGACTTTCTGAATGGCTTCGAACTAAAACTGCGGGCCGGTTTAATGAGTTTTATAAGAATCATGGCATCAGAGGAACAAAGATCTTTTGACGATGTCAGACTTAGTGACATAACTGTGATATAATCACATAAAGACTTTGGCTGCTTTTCTATTATTCCCTTCTGTAAGCCCTCATGAAATAATTCCCCACAGAGAACAATACGGTTCCTGTGATTGTTGGCAGTCGCCCTGGGATTCCTGACTGGGATGTGCTGCGACCTCTGAGCCGGCTGCACCTGGCCAACTCAAAAAGGCCCAGAATATTTTTGATGGAAAAAGGGTGACCTTTGTCACCTTTGACATATAGGTCCAAAATAAACATATTTAGAATGCCATAAATCTTTCCTCTCATGAGAACAATAAAATGACATGTTTTGAAAAGAATGTTCCCAATGTGAAAACAATGAGGGGATAATTTATTGAACATTTTCAAGTGTGTGGAATGAGAAGCATGCATTGAGACGAGGAGGTGTTATACATGTTGCCTGTCCCATCTGCTCGGTGTGATCTTTGTGCATTGCCGTGTGTTTTTCCAACGTCTACTGGACACAAGTGAGGAAAGTGTTTGAACAGAGAACAGATAAAGTTTCCAAAACAACCCACAGACGACCACTTAGCCAATGTTGGTTGTGTGACTAGAATTCCATTAAGGATGAAATTTGTTCTTGTTCCTATTTTATAGCTTTGAAACAAACGCCAAATGCCTGCTTTTACTCTGCAGTGTGGAACTACCAAGCACATGCTCTGCTTGACTTTAATTCACAAGCGCTCCACTATCCAGGTCAACCACAATGAGATGGAATCTCTTTTTCATGTGTGGCTCGTTATTAAAAATGTTGAAAATTAATAGAGCAGTCATGCAGGTTTCCATGGAGAACACCCTGCATCCAATGAATGCTCAGATCTTAGCCAAACTTTCCTTCTCTATGCTCAGTCTTTTTCTTTCCCTGAAGTCATTACCTGAAATGAGTGACGTAAATCAATTTCTAGTTTGCTTTCATTTCCTTGTTTTTTCTCAAAAGTTTCTAAAATCATCTTTTGACCTTATTTAGACATGTTTTAGCATACAGTTAAATAAGACTTAAAATGATTTATAATCTTGTCCATTGATAGATCGTTCATGTATGTTTGTATGCTAAATACGTCATTAAATATTTTTTAGTAACTTGGTATAATGTCCCTCTATATTTACTTCATGTCTTAAGTTATGATTCAACTCTATAATTACGTTATTAGGTAACTTCATGCTGCTTTTCGTCACATACGTTTGTCACTATGATCTTTTCCCAGAACTCACCATGTAGTTTAGTTTCCTACATTTAAATAAAACATTGATGTGATTAATGGTCATGTTTTTAAAACGCTTTCAGTTTGTGTGTACAGACAGAGAGATCGAAATACCGTTTCCCACAATCCCGAATACAAATATATATAAAAAAATATATACAATATTACGGTGGCCCTGAAGTGCAAGACACCACAGCATTTCAGAAAACACCACAGCATTTCAGAAAACACTACAGCATTTCAGAAAACGCCACAGCATTTCAGAAAACACAACAGCATTTCAGAAAACACAACAGAATTTCAGAAAACACAACAGCATTTCAGAAAACACAACAGAATTTCAGAAAACACCACAGCATTTCAGAAAACACCACAGCATTTCAGAAAACACAACAGAATTTCAGAAAACACCACAGCATTTCAGAAAACACTACAGCATTTCAGAAAACACCACAGCATTTCACATTGGACGGAAAGGGTATTCCTTTAGGGAGAACACTTCTTGTTTGTGATTGGACAGAGCCAGCCAGAGAAGCACTGCTGTGATTGGTTGTTTTTGCTGCCAGTCAAGAAATGACGCTTCGTGATTGGTCAACACCCGACAGCGAAATATGTCCCAACGGTTTTGATTGATTGATTGAAAAGTTTATTAACAGCTT